ATGTGTTTTCGTTTTGTTTTTGTTTTTGTTTTTTTTGCTTGTCAGGTTTTTTTTAGAAGGTATAAAAAAATTCTTTTACACCTAGCCCCCCCACTTTGAATTTGCTTCCGACACCAATGATTTGCATGTATTCATCAAACTGAGTATGAAATTCTCAGACCGGCCCTGTGACCTATAACTCAGAACCTCTTATATTTATTTTACATGCTTAATTCATTATATACCAGTTTGAATTCTATTAATGATGTAAATTAGATTTTGATAAATGTTTTGCTCATAATAGGACCTTTTTAAATTTATTAATCCCCCCGTCGACACCACAATCACACAGCACATACTGTTTGGAATAGGCTAGATGGAAAAGTTTTGTTAAAACATCGTTTGTTATGAATTAATTTAAAATTTGTTCTTGTACTATACATGTTAACATGTAAATTTCTACATCACATCACGTTGCGTCACCCATTATCATATTTTTAGATTAAACACCATTTGGCACACCTCGGCCGATTCCCACTTCATCTGATAAGGTGACGGAATCGACGAAGGTTTGTCGAATGGAATTAGCACATGGCTGCAGTCTGGTGTGCATTGGATTAATTCATTTTGTGTTATAATTGGATTTATAATGAAGTTGACGAGACAAACATGTATGGCAGTCGGTAAGTACAAGTTTAAGTATAGTGGGGAGTAAAATAAACCCAAACGATTAGGTTAAAGTTCAAAAAGGGTCAAAGATCATCGCATGCCACACTAGACCAGTGACGTATAACAAGTTGTTACGTCACTGACTAGACGAATTTCATATTGTGAAGTTATCTGCCATTGTCGATGTGACATTCAGTTACTGCCAATACTGGTGCGGATCCAGAATTTTTTTCGGGAGTAGGGAGAGGGGTTCGATCACATCTCAGTCAAAAAATTTCCAGCCCAGAATTTCCTGACAAGCAGGAGAAAAAAAAACCTGAAAATTAACAAATAAACAAAATAAAAACAATGATGGTGTGGTCAATGTTTTCTCAGTTAGGGGGAGGATGTCCAAAGTCATTTTTTATTTGCTTCAGTATATAGTCTTGTTTAAATAACAAAGCAAATTCCAGGGGGGGGGGGGATGGGGGGATTCCAATCTCCCTACCCACTCCCTGTCCCTGAAATAACAATCTGTTTTGTGATTCCAATTAAATTGTATATTTTTTTCCATTTGACTAATTATACATATTTTGTTTCTTGTGTTTATATTATGTCTGTCTATTTGTCTGCAGAAATTATAACCTTACCCATAAGTTTTAAGTGGGATGGGCTATACAAATGGCTTCTACATTTTATAGGTTTATTTCTTGTGACAATTAAGACCTTTTATTTGGGTACCATTAATTTTTACCTGAAATCGCTTGACCTAGGATACACATTTTTACAAGAAAAATACCAAACTTTAAACTTGGCCTAAATTTTGATCAATAGGTGCTAGGGCTTTCATGCTTAACATGTGTATTCATTGTGAACTGTCAACAGGTATAAATATGTTTGACCTTGACCCTAGAGTTTGAACCACTTAAAAAAAAATAACCTTGGCAATTAACATTTGAACAGGAATTACCAGGGATTTCTTTATTTCACATGTGCATTCCTTGTGACAAGACTTTCTTCTGATACTAACAATTTGAACCCTTTGACCTTGAACTTTGAGTTTGACATATATTTGAGAAACTTCAACCTTCGCCATAGGCTTCCATACAGGGACATCAGTGTTTCACAAACACATCTTGTCTTCATTATTATTTGGTGGTGTCTCCATATGAGGGAAAAATTCCCAAGAGAGATGTATTCACAACAAACAAACAAATTACTAAAGAAAATATAAAACATGAATATGTTGGTCATGCATATCTCTGCATGAAAAAAACAGCTTTTCAAATACTGCAACCATATTCTAACCCTTTCAAAACACTCATTTGAGCTTTTCTGGTTTCCTTAACATATAACGTCTGTCGTGACGTGTCGTCCATCTGTTTGTCTGAAAACTTTTTACATTTTTAACTTCTCTAGAACCACTGGGCCAATTTTACCCAATTCATACAGAAATATGTATATTTATATGTCAGACTGTCCATCTGTCTCAATAAATTTAACCTTGGTCATCACGGTCATATCTACTGAATATTAAACTTATGTATTAGTATTTACCTGTGAGAATGGCATGGTTTTTTATGCGCCCGGATCGATAGATCCCGGGCGTATATTGTTTTTGTCCTGTCTGTTTGTCTGTTTATCTGTTTGTCTGTTTGTCTGTCTGTCTGTTGTCAACTTTAACCTTGGCCATAACTTTTGAACAATAAGAGATAGAGACTTCATATTTGGTATGCATACTCCAGTAATAAAGTCCTTTCAAATGACATCAAGGTCAATGACCTTGTGACCTTGACTGTGACCTATATGCTAAAAATAGCTGTTTCCACTGTTTGTCATAACTTTTTAACCATAGGAGATAGGGACTTCATATTTGGTATGCATACTCCACTAATAGAATCCTTTCAAACGACATCAAGGTCAATGATCTTGTGACCTTGACTGTGACCTATATGCTAAAAATAGCTTTTTACACTTTTTGCCATAACTTTTTAACCATAGGAGATAGGAACTTCATATTTGGTATGCATACTCCATCGATAAAGTCCTTTCAAACGACGGCAAGGTCAATGATCTTGTGATCTTGACTGTGACCTATATGCTAAAAATGGCTCTTTACACTTTTTGCCATAACTTTTGAACCATAGGAGATAGGGACTTCATATTTAGTATGCTTACTCCACTGATTAAGTTCTTTCGAATGACACCATGGTCAATGACCTTGTGACCTTGACTGTGATCTATATGCTAAAAATAGATTTTTTGAACTTTGTTGCCGCCGGGCGCATAGTGTTTCACAAACACATCTTGTTTTTTTTACCTGTGACCTAGAAGTTTGACCTACTTGCAAAAAAATTAAATTGTTATAAATTCATCATTTTGAAAGAGAAAAGTTAGGGCATTCATATCATAATGCATGTATATTATTACCTGTGATAAGACCTTTCTAAATAAATCATGACTTTTACTCTGTGACCTTGACCTTGAAGAGGTCAAGCCTCTACTTTTCAAAAATGTTGCATTTGCTTATATCTTTTGATTGAGATGAGATATGACTCTCACATTTGACATATACATTAATTACTCATAAGAATTCAAGGTGTTTCCCAGCATGTGATGCTTTTTTTACCCCTTGACGTTGATGTTTTACATAATTTTCAAAATATTTAACTCTCCTAAAAGATGATTAGGCTTCTGAGTAACATTAAGGAAGACTTCAGGGAAGACAGGGCTTTTTGCACAAAAAACGTCATTTTTCCACCCATATTTGACCCCCCAGGGCAAAATCTTAATTCCAAAACCTTACTGCACATCTACCTGACACCACCAACCATCTCCCAACAGATGATTAGGCTACTGTGTAAAATGTAGAAGTTCAGGGAAGACGGGGCTTTTTGCATAAAAAATGTCATTTTTTGACCCCCATTTGACCCCCCAGGGCAAAATCAAAATTCCGAAACCTTACTGCACATCTACATGACCCCACCAACCATCTCTCAAAAGATGAATAGGCTGCTGAGTAAAATGTAAGAGGAGTTCAGGGAAAACGGGGCTTTTTGTATAAAAAACGTTATTTTTCAACCCCAATTTGACCCCCCGGGGCAAAATCTAAATTCAGAAACCTTACTGCACATCTACATGACACCACCAACCATCTCCCAAAAGATGATTAGGCTACTGTGTAAAATGTAGAAGGAGTTCAGGGAAGACGGGGCTTTTTGCATCAAAAACATCATTTTTCGACCCCCATTTGACCCCCCGGGGCAAAATCAAAATTCCGAATCCTTACTGCACATCTACGTGACAACACCAATCATCCCCCAAAAGATGATAAGGCTGCTGAGTAAAATGTAAGAGAAGTTCAGAGAAGACGGGGCTTTTAGCATAAAAAACGTCATTTTTCGACCCCCATTTGACCCCCCAGGGCAAAATCAAAATTCCAAAATCTTACTGCACATCTACATGACCCCACCAACCATCTCCCAAAAGATGATTAGGCTACTGTGTAAAATGTAGAAGGAGTTCAGGGAAGACGGGGCTTTTTGCATAAAAAAACATCATTTTTCGACCCCTATTTGACCCCCTGGGGCAAAATCAAAATTCCGAAACCTTACTGCACATCTACATGACACCACCAATCATCCCCCAAAAGGTGATTAGGCTGCTGAGTAAAATGTAGAAGGAGTTCAGGGAAGATGGGGCTTTTTGCACAAAAAACGTCATTTTTCGACCCCCATTTGACCCCCCGGGGCAAATTCAAAATTCCGAAACCTTACTGCACATCTACATGACCCCACCAACCATCTCCCAAAAGATGATTAAGCTACTGTGTAAAATGTAGGAGGAGTTCAGGGAAGAAAAGTGTGACAGACGGACGGACGGACGGACGGACATGAGTAACAACAATATACCCGAACTTTCTTTAGAAAGTGCGGGTATAATTATACTTGATAAATGCATAGAATTATTTTGTGGGCTTGAAGTCCCCATCCAATTCCGGGGGAAAACTGTACATAATAATCTATGCACTTTGCAAATCATTAATTAAAAACGTAAGAATGTTGATAATGTTAAAAAATCTCTCTTTTCAATAATGACTTGGAATAATCGTTGTCATTTAAATACAACGTACCAACTACATTGTATTCAGGGAAAAAAAATTTCTTTAATCTTTACATTCACAAAAATTTTAGTAATCTATAAAGTACAAAGAATAAAGTACAATTTATAAAGTAACACATGATAAGAACTCATTTTAGGATCGATATTTGGCTTAGTTTGTTTTAATTGTTCCAAGGAGCTGCGGGTATTATCAAGAGATGAAAGACAAACAATCATTCAAAACATGGTGTAAAGAATCAGAGAACCAGACATTGTTTTCTTCGTTTTATTACTTAATTTTTTCAAGCAACGCAGCCAATTTTGATGCAAACAAAGTTAACCTATCTACTGTCTCTCTTTCCCGTTTGGTCGATCATTTGTCTCTCCTGACCTTCATTTCTGATTTTCTCAAATATTTAGTTATCTGTGTCCATGTGTCCCAGGTAGCTCCTTCGCCATCACCTTAAATATAAAAACAGAAAATATATAATATATAGATATAAAAATAGATTAAGGACTCCAGTGATATCAATCTTGTGTTATATATCATCCACACATTATTGCTTAATTGTTACCTAAGTAAATATATCAAAAACTGGATTCTGAATAGAACATCTAGATCTAGTATCATATGGGGTGAACTGAGCCCATTTTGCTAAGTTAATACCATTTATCTAGCTGAAAGGAATTGGTCATCCTGGTATACAAAAAATATTGACATATATAATCTGAATATTCAAATAAATTGTTTTATTAGTTGTATATGGAGTTTCATGAAGAGACTTACTTTTACAATCGACGACAGACTTTTACAATTTAACCAGAGACCAACTCCAATTACTAAAATGTAAAAGTCAACTGTCGAATGTAAAAGTAAGTCTCTTCATAAAACTCCTTTATTAATAATTGTAAAGTCAGTTTAAGGCTTTATCTTTTTTTCCCAAAGTCTAGGTACAAGAAAAAACCTCAAATAAAGTAATGGCTGTAACCCCAAAAACGATTTGCTCAGAACGTCACAGAACAGCAAAGTACTACGCAATCAAACTTATTAATCATACCATAAAACTAAAAAAAAAAAAGGCGACAGTAACAAACCTGCCGTCCCTGAGTAACCATATGCTGTAATTGTGTAGTTGGTGCTGGCATTTGCAACCAAGAAGGTACTGTATTCAGCGTAAGTAATTCTCCCATTATGATCAACCATGTCTACTCGCAATATACTGTTACCACTTGTCGTCAACACATGAAGAATTTCACTCCCTAAAAAAGGGGAAATTTATGTTTTAAAAAAGGCAGTCATTTTGAAGAAGCTGAAAACATAACATAAACTTTTGTAGAATGAGTTTTAATGTTTGAAAGGTAAAATTAAATTACATGGAGCACACAGTAGGTGTGACCGGTCGACGGGGGATGCTTTCTCATCAATGACACCTGATCATTCCTTTAAAGTTTTAAGAGGTCCGTGTTAAATCTGCTTCAGATTGCAATGTATTTTGAGCTGTTTGTTATCTTCCCCTCGGCAACATTGATAGCTGGTATAAAGACGAAAAATGAACCCACCCCCCTAGAATAATGACCAGGGTCATGTTTGTCAAGTATCGCTCAAAAGGACATAAAAAACCATTTACGTGTGACCTGTTACGTATCACTCTGTTGGAAAAGGGGTCATACTTCAACGGGGGTCAATTTTTTATAGGATGTACATATAAAAACAATTATCCCTAGGTCTCTTTTTCGAAAAAAAAAAAATCAATTTTTCTACGGTTGGGGTCATTTTTTTGTCTCTCTGGTCATTATTCTATGGGGATCATTATTCGTCTTTACACCACTACACATAGTCCAAAGCATATACATACATGTATTATTGACTGAAAGTTTGATACTAATACTTGCTTTCTATAGCGAAAAGGCGTTCATTTTCTAAGCCAATACAAACCTAGCCAAAATTCTTGCAACAAATCCCCAAAACCTCTGACATAGTCTGACCAAGGCCTACTAAAATCTTCTGATCCGCCAAGCATTCTCTGAAAAACCTGCATTGGTAATAATAAATGTAAAGATGAATTCAATGCACTGATCTGGCTTGTATAATTATTTTTAAAAAACATATCAATCAAATGAATTCATTAATTATAACCTAATACAGTGTATATAATTCTATTGTTTTATAGCTAAGAAATTTTGCTCTTTGAGATTCGATGTTGACTAAAAATATTGCTACTTTGTAACGTCATGAGCAATAACTAACCTAACTCACAACCAAATTCATTACAAACCCCAAGGTACTGTGAGCACTGAGCTCGCTTAATGATACCTTCGCCTCCAATATAATTATAATGGCAAAATCCATGTTCTGCTTTGGGAGACCCGAAATATGTGTCCGATCAAAAATTATACAAGGAGGTCACACTGGCAATATGTTACAAAATTACATTTGAAAGACTCATAAAATTTTATTCAGTGTTACAAGAGAAGTTGCAGATAGGAGATGGGTACCCCAAAACGTAACGGACGGCCGGACACTCCCATTACTATATAACCCCCCCCCCTTGCTTTTCAAGCAGGATATATAATCAAGGTATCGAGAGTCATGGCCAAAAAATCACTGACCTTGCGCCGGGGCATTGAAACAGCTCAATCAATCAATCAAACAAGTCAATGGACACAATTTTATAACAAGTTGTTAGACAGACACCCATTTTTAGACGGTGGCTATATATAGCCACAGGCTATTGCTGCTGGTCTGTGTACACTCGGAGATCCTCGGATGACTCGTACCTCGCACATAACCTCGGACGTCAACGGTGATCTACCATCTTGCTGATTCAGTCATGTGATCTTATTTGAATTTCTTTCAAATGTCATACTTTTGAGATCGGAGTTATTTTTTGGCACACTCAACAGTTTCTTCTTGCTTTCAAAGCCTTTTAACATGAGGATGTAATCAAAACCTGTTTACGATAAAGAATTGCACAACTTAAGAAACATTTTCGAAGAACGTTATGCAGAGCGAAATATGAAATGAGTGATAAGGCAGTTTTCCGGCGGAGAAATGTAAGGATCTGTTGCGTATTCCTCCACCAATCACATCCGAGGTTTGAATGGAGCGGAGCGGAGTCAGCCGAGGATTGCCGATTGGTCTGTGTAAACACAAGGGGACCCTAGCGGCGATTTTTGCAGAGTGAAAATAATGAAAGTAGACTTATTTCGATGTTTGAAAATAAAATTTGCATAGTTAACAAATACTTTCAAGTTATTTCAGAGACATTTCGTTGATGGATACAAAGCCTAATTCCTGATATTTGCCGTTATCAATATTTCTCGTCTCATGAATATTCATTTAAAGGTGGCAGAGGATAGTTTCGAATAAAGTACCGGTCAAAAAATAGAAAAATAGAGAAACCTGAGGTTTGAATGCATATTATAGGTAATTTTATAGCTAGAATATTTTATGGGTGCATTTGGAGGGAAATGGTGGCCTTGTGTATTTTATTGAAATATGACACTTTATTGTCACTACTACTGTATATGGGATATGGATGAGAAATACGAAACTAAGCTCAAAACTCACTCTACCGGTATTTCACCGGAAAAGCGGTGTGGGTTCATAGGATGAATTGTAGCTTGAAAACGAGGTGGTTGAGCCATCATCTCTTGCTGTTCATTGGTATGTACAAATGTTATTCTGCAATTTGTGTGGTAGCTTAGGTCAGGCGCACGGGCCTGGAAGCAGATGCAGCTGCGGCGAAATAGTGAAAATAGGCTTGATTCACATGAAATTTTGAGATTGTCCCTGTGCCATCTTTAGGGCTCATTGTGTAAGTTGTACATGTTTTATTCCTAAAATCTTAAAATTTCTCAAGGGACTACATCATACTATTATTACATGTAGAGGGAATTTAAAATTTTTCAATGCACATTTTTAAAGCAGCTCAATATTAAGTAAACCGTCAGTCAAACGTTTTGATTGCAAAAAAAAAACTATCCTCTGCCACCTGAGTTACGCCGAACTAAACTAACTCGTACACCAACCGACTCGTATATTCGTAATCAAACTACAGATGTCAATTCGTACAATTTTTTTCGTTTTTTCTCACATGTTCGAAAAATCAGTTTCGTACGCACATTGTTATAAAATTACCAATTAATTGTTGAAAATTATTTGAAGATTTAATTGTATGATTGTTTCACTATCTAACACCGAAATCAAATACTAGTAATTATTACTAGTAATTGCTAAACAACACACGGGATCACTACATCTTACTCAGTTAATAAAACGGTTGTTGGAATGCCATAAATTTGCTAAGTTTATTACCATTCTAGTTTTTAAAAATAAGACTTTGTCTGATTATCTCGGACACAAAAACGACTCAACGGATAAAAATTTGTCAAAGCTATAAAATATTTACAAAGACTATAACGGACAATTTACCCACATATTTCATTCCTATTTTATAGAAAGTCTATAACGTGCCTCTAATAAATATACCCTTTAAAGGGTGTACGAAAAAGTACACTCAAATACATGTGCATGAAATAAAACTGGTATTAGGATTTTATGCGATTTTAGTGGGCTGAATTTAGGTCAGTCTTCTGGTGTGTTCACAAAGCAGTAAATATGCATTGCGCAGTGATTCGCAGGGTTATTGCATAATTATTAGAATATTATACCGGTATAAGATTCTTTAGTTTAATGATAGTAAAAATATTGTCCATAACTTTAGTACTTATTAATAAATCTTCACAAGGTCCTATTTGTGTGCGAGATTGGTTTCTGGCTTTATTTGAAGAATTAAGGGAGACTCAACTATGTGAATCAAAGAAATTCCTTAATTTAAGTCGGAATTATCCAACTTGTTTTTAGCAAAGAGGAAACTTGACACTGCTTTAGACATTTTGACATTATCATCGTGTGTCGTAAGGCGACACAACACATTTAAATGAAATCTTATAATTTGCAATTGTTTATATATGCATATACCTATTTGAAGTTTGCTATGTTTTTTGATAAAAATTGTTATAAGATAGTAACAATTTTAGATTACAGTGAGAATTCATAACACTTTACTTTTTAGTAAAATATAAATTTATATATTAAAATACAGGTAGATATTGTGAAAAATTGAAATAAACTTTTATAATTTCCATATCATTTTACAAAATCTTAAAACATTTTTTTCTTATATACTGCCAGTCGCCATTTGACGTAGCGAGTTTGCTTTGGACTCACGGCCTGAAGAAGTCCATGACTTACGTCGCGGATTCGACTCCCACTGCGGGAAATGGAGATACTTAATTCAGATTGATATCCCGTGTCGCAGTAATTGCTAGTCAGAAAATATCCTTCGCTGCTAAAAATGTTATTCTCGAAAGGGGTGTTAATTAAACAAACAAAATCATTCATGCCACCGTCTTTCAGTACTCACAGTACTTTGATTTAAACTAGAAGTACTGCGAGCACTGAGCTCACTAAATGATACCCCTGCCTCCCATATGATTATGGTGGCAAAGTCCATGTTTTGCTCTGGATTACCCGAAATGAGTGTCAGAACAAAAAGAAAAATAGGAAGTGTACAATGGCAGTATGTAACAAAGAATCAATAAAAGTATCATGAAATTTTATTCAGTGGTTTTGGAGGGATTGAGGGTAAGATATGGGTACCCTTAATTATATAGAAAGAATGGCAGTGTCCATTGATTTGCCATGGGAAACCCGAATTATGTGTCCGATCAAAAAGTAAATAAAGAGGTCACAATGGCATTATATAGCAAATATTCTGTGAAAGTTTCATTAAATTCCATTCAGAGGTATAAGAGGAGTTGCGGATAAGAGATAAGTACCCTAAAGCAAAACAGACGGACGGACATCCCGAACTCTAGTATATACCCTTTAACATTTCGTCTCGTCCCTTTTGAGGGGGGCATAATGCCATATTTTTCGAATAATTATTCCTTATTTGTGTTAATAACATGAATCCAGTAGATTATATTTAAAGTACATGTATTTTAGACATAAAGTCCACAAAAAATTATCCCTTTGCCTATTCTACCAGAAGATTGTCTTATACTAGTATATGAACTAAATTGTATAACATGGTTAGAATTCTCACGATCAGAAAATTTTTATTGGTCACTCCTAAAAAAATTTTATTCAAAAATGTGTGATGAATCACATTGATTCTTAAAAGTTTGATGTACAAACCGTCCACGCCAAATTTCCTTCTAAAGAACAATACACTTTGACATGCTGGCCCTTCATTGTGACGTTATAAATTCCGGAAGTGGTTTCAAAGCTAGATAGGCAGTCGCAATCTGAGCATGCTTCCTCTACGAAAGATGAATATATGAAGCAATTTTCACATTTTAGAAATTAATATTGTTACAGTAGATATTTTTGTTGGGTATGCCAGGGCATTAGCGATATCGATGGTTGAAAACGTAGGATGATTTGTATAAAGGGCTTCCTACGTTTTCAACTGTCGTTGATGTCCCTGGTATACGAACAAACTTGACAGTGATTCCTTATATTTACATTTATATGTGAAATTTTGATTTTAAAAAAAAACTTTAAAATGTAGTGACAAAACAAGTTTTAATTTTGATATTTTTTCCCCATAATAGGGTGTCAAAGTAGAATAGCTACCAAAAAGCGACCTTAATAAATATCAAATTCCATATACATTTACATACTAGGAATAAAGGTCACGTTGAGATACTTAAGATCTCGGATTGGATAATATAAAGAACAAGGTCCACTTGCCTTTCTTATAGACTTTTACAGACAAGATATACTAATAGTGTACAGGGGCGTAGCTGCCTATACGCCAGCACGCCATGGCGTGCACATCTTTTAGTCCAAAAAAAAATTACTGTGCATTTTTATAAAATTTATTATTAAAAAAATGATCATACCGTCATATAAAAAATTAAATTCCTAAAAATTCCGTGTAAACTTACTATGCCTGGCATGATTACATTCTATTAATTCAGCGCTATATCCAACAATACTCAATAGAGTCCATTTTATTCATATTGCTAACCATGCCGGTAGCAAGCGCAAATGCAGAGAGGTCCTTCAGCGTTTTGCGGCGATTGAAAACGTACGTCCGTTCCACTATGTGAAATGACAGATTGTCATCGCTTGGACTTCTCCATATTCACAGAGATTTTAAAATTGATACAGAAAAAGCAATGAAACAATTTGTTAATGCTAAATCCAGAAAAATGGATTTTGGAGAATTTTAGGTAAAGGCTAAACGATAAATCACGAAACATGACGCCGCACGTTTTGGGGAAATTAAATTTGCTGGATTGAAATTGTTTTGTTTTATTTTTATTATTTAAAAATTAGACAAAAAATGGAACTAAAAATACCTTTTTAAAGTAATCACAAAAATTCAGACAATGCACTTGATTTTATATAAAAAAAAAAAAACATAAATATTTTTTAAATATTAATAGATCAATTGTTTTTTGGTGTCATAAATCAAAATATCGCGAAGTTGACTTCATCTCGTAGCATACGTTATATATTTAAAAATACCGTAAATTTTGTTCAGTCTAAAAGTGAAAACCCAGGAGCTTCCGGGGGCTTCGCCTCAAGGCGGCCCCCAGACCCCCTGCCTTTTTTGGCGTGCACATCATTTTCGTCTAGCTACGCCCCTGGTGTATACTATAGTACATGAATTGCATAAAATATATTTACAAATATGAAAAATAGAAATTTTGACTCGGTGTTTAGAAGGAAAAAAAACATGGTTCTTAAAAATAAAATTTAAATAAAAATTAAAAAATAAAAATTTTATGGCTTTTCCGTGATTTCGTGGTGAATCTCATCACGTAAAATCAATTTTCTTTATATTTTGTACGAAAAATGAAATGGGTTTTTGATTAGGAAGTACTGATTCATTCATTGGAGAAGACGACCCAATCCAGGGGCCATAGCATAGCCTATTTTGTTCTTTGATTTTAAAATAAACATTTAAACAAAGGTTTTCTTAATAAATCTGCAATATGAGTTACATAAAAAGATTGCATAAACAAACCTTGACTAAAATTTGGAGTTGTTGATTCTAGAATACTTCCATTTCCAGTTTCTGGGTTTCTCTAGGAAAAGAAGAGAAATTTTTCTTTCATTGTTAAATTTGTATAATTATGCAACTGAAAAAAAAAACTAGAGGTACTGTGAGCAATGAACTCACTAAATGATATCCCCCGCCTCCCATATGAATATAATGGCAGTGTCCATGTTTTGCTATAGGAAACCCAAATATGTGTCGGATCAAAAAGTAGAATAGGAGGTGCACAATGACAAAGTGTGATAAAGATTCTGTGAAAGACTCATCAAATTTCATTCAGTGGTATGAGAGGAGTTGCGAATAAGAGATGGGTACCCCAAAGAGAAACAGACGAACGGACATCCCGATTACTATATACCCTCCCGCTTTTCAAGCGCGGGGGGGGGGGGGTTATAAAAATCAATGGATATGTAAGTGGATTTTTTTTCCTCATCTCTAAATATCCATATACTATTTTGATTTCCGCTAAAGTGTCATATAAAACTTCCGCTAAATTTTCACAAATTTTCTGTTTAAACAGAAACGTCCTTTTTCCTAAAATTTAAACGTCCTATCAACCAACTAAATGACCAACGCCGAATAACTACTGTTTTGGAGAGATTTTTTTATTCCAGAGAAATACTGATTATATTAATTATAACTAATTATATACTGAAAATTGTGGAAACTAAAATATGCTAAAATGTATTTACGGAAATACTTTGTAAATCTAACAAATATACATAACGTTGTAAACAACAAACCCTTTGAAACCGCTTGCAGCTTGAACCAGAAATAGCCGTAAAATAACTTCTAGAACCATTACTAAGTCGGCATTGTCCGCTCTTTTTGGGTCCACAGATCTCAATTGCCAGACATAATTTCTCGTCTATACACATTTTGGCACACCGACGCTTCGTCATAAAAGGCGAAAGTTCAAAAGTAGCCATAGTCCCGATGTTGTCACTTTGGGAAACTATCTCTGTGAATTTAAATTTTCCAATGGCAATATTTCCTTCACAAATCGTTGTAAAATCAAGAAACATTAAATAAACCAAAGGGATAATAGTTCGAAAATATTTTGATAAATACTGCATATTCTTTGCACTGGGATCAGGGCTGCTCGACTAGAAAAAAATTTTCAAGGTGGAAAGATGTTTTACCTATCGCAGGGATGGAATTGATATCACTTTATCGAT